AAAAATGATGTTCACTCAGTAATTATTGCAAGTTATTGCGACAAAGTCATTGTAGAAGTCTCGTGGTCAAATTGAAAAGACACCACATGGAATACGGAAGATTCAGATTCAAATCCCAGTTAAAGTAGTATTGTTCGCAATAAAATTAAAATTATTTACAGTGTTTAAGATTCTTATCTAACATTAAAAATTAATAATATTCTTAATATTATTAAATTTCTTGTCAATTTATTTTCTAGTTTTTATTCATTTTATTCATATTTAATACTTTAATTTTGTTCATAATTGCGTTTCAAAACTGAAAAAGATTTCGGCACGCAGTTTACAAAATTAGAATTCAGTGTATATATAAATTCACAATGAATATTTCATTCATATGAATGAAATATTTGAGCACTAAGATCTACTTTGATCGAGTATAGAATTTTTTTAGATTTACAGATTTCTTTAGATTTATTTTATACATAAATAAAAGTACTTCAATATTGAAGATAATTTTATAATATCTTTAAATGATAAATAAAAAAAGATAATAGGCACTGAGACACATCAAGTCATTAAAGTTAGGGTAATATAGTTCATTCTTATATTTAAGATCATCTTAGGTACAGTCTTAAAATGTCAATCAGAAAGCTACATTAGCTTTACATTAGCACCTTAAGACTTTACTTAAGATAGTCTTAAAATAAGAATTGAATACCGGCCTGAATTTATTTTTTATTCTTACACTCTGAACAGATGCACGGTGCAATAAGTTGAAGTAAAACAAATATACATCTGTTTCACTTTATCTTATTGTATTGTGTGTAGCAGTTCAGAAAGAAATAAAATAAGCAGAAATAAAAAACGAACTTAATGTTCGTTCAGAATTACAAATCTTTTGAACATCAGATTTTTAGATCATTAATATTTTTAGATCATTAGATCATTAATCTAACAATATTAAATATAAATAGGTTTATAAAAAATAAATAGGTTAAATAATAAATAGGTTTATAAAAAAAAAGTAATAAAATCCAACAGTGTGGAGCGTATATTAAAATTTGCTACACATTAAGATAATTTGAAAGAAATAACACTTTTCTTATCTAAGATAAAAATAAATAATATGTATTCTATTATTCTAGATAAGATAAAATCATGTCTTTATCTAAATAATATCTAGATAATTTTAAATAGATAACAGCAAACACTGCTTACAGAAGTCCAATTTTATACTGGTCGATTTAATATTAAAAAAAGTAATAATAAATTACTTATTTTGAGTAAAAGCATTGAACGATGATACTGAATAATTAATCACTGTCCTCCAGTATTAAACTGTAAAGGTTTCAATCGCAAAATGCTTTCTAGCTTCATCATCGTCCTCGTCTTTCATTTCTTTCGCGAGTCGAATTTGCAATTTCAATACGCGTGACGGTCGTTTCTTCTCACACCGCGCTACTGCTTTGTGATGATTTCCGCGAAGCCTTTCTCTCCATTGCAGTACAATGAATGACTTGGACATTCTGCCGTTTTCATGCATACATCGCACCGTGACAACGCGTAACAACAAACGATAGTGTTATGTCACAGATAATGAGCATGCCAAGTAACTTCGTGAAGTAACGTTGGAAGTTCACACGATGGTTTACGTTCGCGAAATACGGCACTGCCTGATGATCTCACCGATATTTCAAGAAGATGCTAGATTCCAGAAAAACAACTGGAATTACGTTAATTACGCGGCTTCTTCGAAGAATCGCATGAGCAGAATTTCTGTTGATGAATTGCTTGACAATTTATTTGACGTGTTATGAATGCAAGCGAATATCAGGCAATAAAATTTTATACAATAAAACTTCATTTTGCTTCATTAAAGTTAAATTGATGTATTTTTATATATCGATATATCGATATATCGTATTCACAATTAAAAGTTTTTTTCTTAAATCCTTCTCTCTCTCTCTCTCTCTCTCTGAGAGATATGTGTATAAATTTTATAGAGATATCATTATTAATTCTCAATATCTTCTCTTATAATTTATAACTTAATTATTGATAAAATATGCGTTAAAAAAATTATAACGTCTTTTTTAAATTCTTTGAGAAAGCTGATATTCAAAACAATCTATACAGTTGCCACTGTTGGATATTAAAAGCTCAATGGTAATCCTCTTATATTAAATGACATTTTGTTTATTTTTAATTTCTATATGTATCAAAATATAAATCAATCCATTTCCATAATTAGTTTCAACGTCCATATTAACATATGCACTTAGTAATTAGACAAGAAAATGATTTTTAAGTAAGAAAAATATCTCGATCTGAGCTGATCTTTGCATTTAATTATATTTTGTAAATTTATATATAATGTAAATTTATATATAATTATATCTAATTTTCTAAACTGCGCGTGAAATAATTCTTTCTGAAATGCAATTAAACTGAAAAATTGGAATAATGTTTTAAATTAAATTGACGAACAATAACATCGATTTATAAAAATTTATATTGAAATCAGCGCAACTTTAAGTTAAAATTACGTTTTAATATTAGCTTTTTCTCAGTAGCGAATTCTAATGATATTGAATTCTAATAAATATTTTAAAACTATAAATAATTTATTGCGAAAAATGTTATCTTAACTAGAATTTGAACTGGTTTAAAGCTGGATTTTCTTCGTGACGGGTGTTTTTATCAATTCAACTTAGACATATAATAATATTTATTATGTAATAACTATTTATTATGTAATAACTAATATTAAGGAAATATTTGTTATTTTGCAATAAATTAGTTACAAGATTTTGAGACGCTTATTAGTATCATCGCTTATTAGTATCAGACGCTTATTAGTATCATATTAAATTACTTGTTAATTCATGATATTACTGTTCTAGTTTGAGACTATGTTTCAGGATAGAAAATGATTTCGAATCGCAGTTTACAAAACTGAATATGTATATAAATTTACACTGAAATATTATTAAGCACTAAGATTTATCTCAGAAATAAGACATTTTCTTTAACTGTGACACATATCGGACTAACGTCGTTTATTGTTATAAAAAGATCTATTAGGTAATCAACGATGAATTATTCATATAGAGTTAAAACTTTTTAAGAAAAATGTGCCAAGTGTATGCGTTTCTCGAAAAATAAATGTTAATATAAAATTATAATTTAATTATATTTAATTTTTTTTACAAAAATTATGATATCAAAATGTTACGATTAATGAAAATTTGTACCTACCATAAATTTATATTAAAACGTACTTTTTGTTTAAAAAGAAATATTATATCATTACAATTAGTTAAGTTACATTATTAGTTAAGTTACATATTTGATTACATAATTACATTATATATATATACATTATATTGATATGCAATAAGTAAGAGGTCAAAATAACAAGAAATAAAATATTTTTGTCAAACATCATTTAAACATCATTTAAAGATTTAAAAATATGGAAATAATAAATATGGAATTAATAAAAAATTAAATAGATTGCAATTAGCTATTTTATATTATTAGCTATTTGTCTATTAACATTACGCATATTAGACAGTCAACAATGAATATTCATGTAGAATTGAAAAGACGGTTACATACGATAGTGAAAAATATTACGAGAAACATTAAATAAGAATTTTCAGAAGGAAGCGAAAAGAAAGCTAGCTTAACAGATTTTTGCTAATTAAAGAACCACCACTAATTATCTAGGATTGCTGGTAGTGATAATCTCGTATCTCGATCAGAACAATGTAAAATTTCGTATTGCGGTATGCTCACTCATGGCCTCGGACACGCGAAGATGTACTAATAGTCATTCAACGCGCGCTGTGGCTTTTCGACGGAGGGACGCGTGGTAAAAATTGTACCGTCGAGGCCGTACAAAGAAATGTACGCCAGTTATATCATTGCCGCGATCGGCACTGGCAGCAGGACGAACAGTATCGCGCTGCATTCGCGGGAAATTGCAGCTGCATCTTTTAGTGCCGTATTCCACCTGCGCGGCAAGACAAAAGACATATCCACGTATAATGTGCTTCGGATCATGTTTGTTTTTCATTAATTATCATCGATTTGTCATTCTTTATATATTTTAATGTAGACGCAACGTTCAATCCATCGTCTGTGCATTAAATTATATTTTATATGCATGCTATATTTTTCTAATTATATGTACGTGACATTATTGCCTCTAATCGTAGAGAACTTTTTTCAAATGAGTGCAAAAAAATAAGTATTGTTTAAAAAAACAGAAATAATTATTTATCAAGGAAAAAGAACAATCATGATATGGATGTAATGTGTATCCGTTTTAAACAAGCAGATGGTAGATCCAGATTAGTTGTGTAATTCAATTGCTAGTTTTTTATTAACAAAATAAAAGGATATAATCCGCGCAATGCAATAATAATGATATGTTAATGATGCGAGAAGCGCATTCTACAGAATTAATAGATATACAGATTTTAATTATACGTTTAGCGCGCGATTCTGAGAAAATGACCAGCATTGAAACAGCAGCAGGTAGACATTGCTGTAAGAATAGAATACTGCCAACCGGATATTGGCTTCATAGAAGCTGAAGGAGGCATAGCTATGTCACACACAGTATAACGAAATATGAAACACAGTTATCATGTTCGACGCGCGTATTGCAACACAGAAAAGAGTTAATCTTCTATGATAGATACACTTTGAAACATTCACGAGATTACAAAGCAGATATTTCGAAGTGACTCTTCCTTAATTTATATTTTATTAAGAATAACTAATGGAGAGAGAAACATTGTAGACATGTGTGAGATGCTTTATCATGTAATAACTTATTGATGTTACGATATCTTAAATGTAACATATTAACAAAATGTTTATAGAATAAACAGAATAAAATATTCTTTTGGAAACAGTGCAGTTTCAATCTTCAATGTCTATATGATCGATTAATTCAAACGTATTTATTTCATTATTTCCAAAACACATTAAATATCGTAGTAAATTGGCACAGAAAGGAAGCAACTTTTTCTCTCACCTTGTTTTGCTCGCATGGATGAAAGTAAATCATGCTGTATTTTGAACTTTATCATGTTGATACTTGATCTAATCGATCTGATGCTTCAAGTCTGAGAGACTCAAGGTTCATGTTATGTAGCTGCATGGCATTTAAATAATTTTCATTCAAGAACACGTCCTACGGCTAATATTGGCTATAAAAATAAAAGTTTGAGTCAGCGTTGAATCAGCGTTTAAAGATCCGACGAGATCATTGTTTGCCTCCTGCACATGCATCGGTTGCTCGTAGGCACATACAACGCATACACATGCACGCATACATATAAATACGTGTACATATTTATCTACATAGATGTACTTGTTCATGAATATCAGTAGAAGGAGGCTATCTGGTAAAGCTGGAGACAGGCGGTCGGCCAATATAGTTGTGCGAGCGACAGCGCGATCCACGATTGAATGATCGCGTGATTTCGCTTTTTCGCGAACGAGTTACGATCAAGTAACACGTCGATCCGAGGATTTCATAAATATTAAATGAAATAAATCATTGATCTATCTGCTATTATGCTGCAGGGAAACGAGAAGAACAGTAACTTTGTCGAGTCGAAGACTGCAGCAAAAGATCACGAGCTTTCAATAGGAAGTGACTCGAAGAATCAGAGAACTCTCAGCAAGCAGACGTCCGATGTCAAGAAACAAGAAGATCTAAAAACTTGCAAAGGTGTTGACAATATGCCGGAGCTTGAGAACTATGACAAGTTGGATGACGAGCAGATCACCTTGGATTTGAGTGAACCACCGCCGGAAGTCATGGAGTACGCCAGAATGGAATTAGGAGAAACCGAGGAGGTCAAGTGTCAGACGTTGCAGGAATTCCGTGACATGATATTCGGTAATTCGAATTATATTGTATAGTTTGAAACGATAGTCAACAAAGTGTCGATGCTGCAAAATCAACAGTGTAGTGCGAATTGACTGAAAGAAAAGTATATACAATCGCAATTAAATAAAACAAACCAAATAGTTTGGTTCCAAGAATAAATTCAATTCAAGAAAAATGCCTATAAAATCCTTCGCGATTGTTAGTACATAAATAACATGTCATCAGCGCCGAGATACTACCATCCAGATATTTGTGTATATAAGACGAAAGAATGCAATCTTTAAATAATAAGAATATTATAAAGAAGATATATAATGAACAAAATAGTCTATATTATATATGTTCTTAACATACATTTTAATTGTTGGCGAATTTCATCTTTTTGCCTTATATATGTGTACACACACACACATACATATATACATGTATATATATATATATAT